CCCAAATCAAGGATGGGAAAATGGCGCGTTTTTTGCCCTTCGCGCGCCTTCATCCTTGATTTGGGGGATGGGGTTTGCTGTTCCATTTTATTTTGTCCAAGATTGTAGTATTATATGTAGTCAAAATAATCCCACCATTGAATATATTTCCTTAGCTGTTTATGAGAATTCGGATTGACGGCCGATCAAGAACAGAAATAATGCGGGCAATTTACTTTCTCTTCGCAGTTAAAAATTTTCATTGCTTGTTCGAAGTGATTAGTGTGTCTTTCTACTCGTGTAACCTTTGTTTATGCGAGTTTTTATATCGCATTTGCTGAATGAAAATGATATAAATCCAATCTTTGAGATGATCGAAACTCGGCATTAAGACACTTCAAACAACACTACAGTAATCGGAGAAGTTCATCTTCTTAATCTGATAATCATGAGCAACAACTTTGCACGTGCACAACGCTTTTTGTACATTTCTTTGCCCGTTTTTGCACGACTACGACCTGAAAATGCCTAATTTTGCGTTTTATGGAGGACGTAAACAAACAACGACGAAATTTAATTTTTCTTTCTCTAACTTGGATATGTTCCTTAGGAATTCAACTCCAGGAGGGCTCGCCTTCATTTGAAAAAGTAAGTGGGCAGGAATAATTGCGATAAAGACTGAAAGAACGCAAATTCACTTTTTGAGCGACGTTCTCATTGCCGTCGCTTTGTTGAATGTTAAAGTCCCTATTTTCTGTGGATGTCAAGTGAATCCCCTTACTAAAAAAAAGCAACTATCTACTGAATTACTTTGTGGATGAATCATTTATGTGTCAAAGTCATTGTGGAGAATGGAAAAGAGTGCTAACCTCTACAAAGGAAGGAAAAGCATTGACTGTCAATATTGATTAGGGTGAAACCCTGAGAATAGTCATTAGGGTTAAGCAGGGTTAAGCACTGATCAATACTGATTAGGGTTAAGCGCTCACTCGAACGGTTAGCTGGTTAGCTTCTATTCAGGGTTAGGGTTGTTGCGACATAGCTTCAAATCAAACCCTTACTCACCATCGAATCCTTGGTGGTGAAGAGGTTAAAGTGATTTCAGAGTTCATGCTCTGTTATCGAATTCGCTCGTGCTAACCTGAATTTTTCTTTTCCTTAAAAATTGAAGAGACTTAGACCTGTTTTTCTTTTTTCCCTCGATAAATTCACCACCATTTGTGGCGCGTTACAACATTTTTGACGTTACGAAAGGGAAATCAAAGGATTACTACACCCTACTTATCAGAGAAAAAGCTCAACCGCCCAATATTATTCAAAAGTTTCAGAGTAACTTTCATTTTAACAGTGACCATCTGAAGCAAATATTTAAGCTGCCACACTCTATCGTTGTCGAATCGTATGTTGACCTTCCAGTACAAAGTAGTGAACTCAATTCTTTACACAAATACAACGTTAATTGTATAAAATAGGTTTTAGAACAAATGATTTATGTACTTTCTGTGGCAATCAAACCGAATCATTAACCCATTTGTTCTATCACTGCTCACGTTCCAAACATTTTTGGATTGAATTTGAATTATATTGGTGCCTTATTTCGAATCAACGGATTCGTCTCCGCTTAGAAAATGTGCTCATTGGAATTTTGAGAGAAAATGCCGCTTGCCCTTTACTTCAATTGTTGAATTATTTTATAATTATTGGAAAACTCTATTTGTGGGACTGTACTGGGATCAAACAAATCCTTCCAAACATTTATGGATTGAGGGCGAAGATCATCGCTAAATATGAAACAGAAAAAAAAATCAGCAACAAAGAATTCTTTAAAGAGAAAGTGGATACTGACGCCTTATTTAAGTTAACTGTTAACTGCCTTAACTCCGTATTATTTCATTGCCCTTTTGCTTCGAAAAAAAAAAACGTTTTTACTGTAGCTTCGAGCTCTTTCACCATATTTGGTTACAGCAGCCTAACAGACGTTATCCAAGATCTCGTTCAATATTCAACACGGCCGGGGTATTTGCAGAACGACAAAAGACTGAAGTTGAGTGATCAGGGTTGGGAATAGACCTTGTCACGGTTTTCGAAGCCATCTTGACGAGTAGGCAAACGTGTGAGAAGTGAGAAATTAAAGTGTTTGTATGAGAATCTAATGTCGAATGATTTCCGTAAAACGGCTGTTCCGAAAAAATATGACTTGTAAACTAAAGCTACAAAACAAAGTACCTAAAAATTTTTTGGGCGTACCTGCGCTTAAATTTCTGCAGAGGCTTGCTTTAGCTTTTCCGTATATTTGTCTCGAATTTTTCCCGGGACTTTCTTACAGACAAATGTATAGAAAATTTTAAAAAGTGGTTCTAGGTCTTCTAGCGCATCTACCGCCCTCAAATTTTTTTTAGTAGATTCCTTAGGAGTGAAGCTTTAGTTTACAATTCTTATTTTTTTCAGAACCGCCATTCTACGGAAATTATTTGACATTAGATTCCCATACAAACACTGTAATTTCTCACGCGTTTGCCTACTCGCCAAGATGGCGTCGAAAACCGTGACAAGGTCTATTGAGTAAATCAAGCTCCACTGTACTTAAGGGCAAAATAAAAGGCAGCTTGATTCACTCAGTTTCGGCCAAAAGCTAATCACTAAACGGCAGTGTTATTCTTCTTTCGGCGGCCGGTGAGGGTTTTGCTAGCCTGCATAGCAGGCGTAGCGTTTTGCTAGAAACCCTGCCGTTTTCAATGGGTTCCTCTCCGTGATATTGCGACAGTTATAACGTGACACAGGCCCTGAAATCACAATGGCTGCGGCCGCACTTGAGGACGTAACCGAGTTATTTCCAATTAACTAATTAAAGTTAAAGCTTTTCTTTCTTAACACAATTGAGTTATGACGTTAAAGTCGACCTATTTTTATCAGTAATACTATCCCGGTTAACTTGCTAACTGCGGCCGCAGCCATATTTTTTTTACGTCTCAGTTCAAACTTTTTTTTGATTTGTAAAATCAAACTACAAAACCGGGGTTGGCAGTTCCATTCTGAGCCCCTTGGACAAAAGTGAAAACACACACATCAGACTTAACAGTTCAATTGAATTTATTTGCTTCAATTAATGTTTGTTAATTTGCACCAGTTGTGAGTTTAAGTATTCTAGATTCATACTGACATCTCAAATTTTCGCAATTTGCTACCTAACCTTTCTCATTGACGTAATGCAATTAAACTGAAGCCAAGTAACCGCGATGAGATTTATGATAAAAAAGCTTTAAATCTATTTTGACCTCACTTTCTTCCAAAACCAAACTGATTGTTTTTATTTAACGCTTAAATTGACAATAACATCTCCTTATTTATATCAACTAGTGTAAACTCTTAGATGTTACAACTGAATCTACTACCATGTGTTTTTGAATCACTTCGACTGGTTATAAAGTCGATCTAGTGCGGTAATCACAGCACAGGTTTCAGAAGCTCTGCACCAGCAGTAATTTTTTTTCTAGCAGACCCTGACACGTACCAGTCGGCGACAAGTTCCATAAATCAAACAGCGACAATAAGAACGATACACCCAGCAAGGATAGTAATACCAGTAGTAGCGGTAAATGGGGCAACGCTTCACACCTGCAACATGAGTAAGTGGATAAAAGCAAGTAAACCTTTATTTAAGAAGCAGTATTCATAGAAACTTATTAAGGACACTCTCAATAAAAATGAATAAATAAAAAAATTGAAATTGTTCTAAAAGTAGAAATTTTAAAACACGAAAAAGGCTTTACGGAGTAAAAGTTATTCACGTGCAAAAAAATATGCAAGTGTCATATGTAACAATAAAAAACATTGGTTTCTTTTTTCAATGTCTTAATGAAAAGGAAGGAGATTTTCCTGTGAGTCACGAAACATATCAAGAATACCCCGATCTTCGAAGTTTTTAGCTTAGAAATTCTTTTCAAAGCTATTTACTCTGGTTAAACAAGTGTGAGACTTTGAGCGCTTGAAATTAGCGTTCCTATATCTGTCAGACAACAAACTGGCACAAACATCAACAAATTTAATATTCATTCAAAATATTTCACCTTTTCTGATTGCTTTGAAACCCCCAGGTTAATTATTGATAACCAAATGGCGCTGACAAAATTTAAAGGAAGCGAGCAATGTTGGCTGGTATATAATACCACCGATACATGTATACAATCGCAACCTTGATTCCCAGGCAGCGGCGCGGTGGCCTAGCTGTTTTGGCATGAGTGAACTCAAGAAATGGCGAAACAGCTCACGGCTATCCGAAGACGAAACAGCCGAAATGCCGACTTAATTTGAACGGGAAAATGCAAGAATACGTAAAAAGTATTGCTCGATGGATATAATCTACTTTTTGAGGAGTATCTGCAAGGAAAAACATCTGGTCAAATTCTAAAACTGTGCTGAGGAAGAGGGAAATATTTTAAAGAAAGTCTACGAGGAGGTAAAGTTGTTAAGAACTTAGAAATATTTAAATCAATATTAAAACAGTTATTGAATTCGGATTTCGTATGATATGAAGAATTATGCAGATCTCGGCGGCTGTTATCCACATAGCCCGAATAACACCTTCCTCAAAAAAAGAATTGTTGACTAACAACTCGTGCTTTGACGCATGCCCAATCCACACCATGCATTTCCTCTATATTTTTTTCGATTTGAAGGTGATTTTCACTGACTGACTTAGGGACTTATATCCAACAACATTAATGGCCGGCCTACGAGTGGGTTGAATGCTACAAAGATTTGTCGTGCCCCCGACAAAACAAAAACGTATATAGCGGTCAGACCCTCCCTCTCTTTGCTGACTGAAATAAGAGCTAGAGAAGGAAGTGAAATTGTAAGTTGTTTGAAGATGTGTTTTTTTTTTTGCCAATATTTCTTCTCAAGTTCCATTTGTATTTCCAAGACATTAGTTTTCAACTTGACCTCCACTGAAAACAAAACATTTTTAGTGTTTTTTTTAGCAATGACTAATTGACTGACACCTTGTTGTTCTAAACATTACACTAGCTAATAAAAGTGGAACACTTACGTTTAACACTTAGGGTCAACGGCGTTGTCTTTTTGACGCGATAAATGGGCAGCTTGGCACACATAGAAGCCATTTCATCACTCAGGTCCGAGCGGTCAGTGACAGTAGAAACGACGTCGTATTCACTGTTCGTCTCATTTCTGACGATTGTCGTCGTGGCGTTCTTTTGGAAAGGGTAACAAGAATAAGACAAGCCTAAAATGTCTTTAGTAACCTTCACGCACAGAAGATGTTCAGTGTATACTAAACGAAAGCTCCGCTGTAAACATTAACCTACCCTACTTTCAAATGTTTAATCGCCTGTATTAAAAAGCCCTTATTTTTGAGAAAAATACCTGCAACTCGAAAACTCAGAAACTTAATAAGGGGGAAAGTTGGTTCCCGGCCATCCAAGAAGTTTATGAAAAAAAAAAAGAAGTCTATCCCAGTAAAGTTGATAAGGGGTTAGGACTTCCCGGTTGCTAAGCTCATTAAGTGCGGATTAACACAAGCTTGTCGAAATATTTTCAATACTAGTTGAAAACTTAATCATTCGCATTTTCGTAACGACAGTCAAATTTACCACCTTAAATTTCAATTCTATTTCCTATTAAAACACGGTAGGAACGTAAATATCCTAATGAAAAAGAATCTCACTTGAATTACCTGGTCAAGTAACTTGACGAGGTCACTAGGTTTGGGTATATTTTCAGTGATTTCACTCAGAAAACAGGCCTTTGCAGCAGAGAGTCGTTGCATGGTCAAGTTCTACAACAAAAGGAAAACATAAACAATGTTGCTGTGATGTCATCATTCACAATAAAGTTTAAGGGAAACAATGAATAAAACGAACAGGTGTAAAGTCAGATTACAACACCGATATAGACAGATAGTTGGCTTAGCGAAAGAGTACGCAAGCAATTATGCGAATAATTAATCGAGTTGAGAAAACTTTCAATCAAAATCACTGAAATTTCACACCCACTTTGACTTGACCAAAGTATTTTACCTTCTTAAAGTCGTAAACAACATCGACTTCTCCCGCGTTCCCAGAATTTGTCTTTGGGATGCGATAGGTTTCTGTTTGTTCCTTAGTGTCGATTTCAATTTCTTCTTCAAACTCTTTATCTCCATCCTTTACTTTCACCTTGTATTTGGACACACTTTGCTGCAACATAAGAGAGACATCAGTTGGCCTTTGATTGTACAAAACCAATTGGAAGTTTCTTGAATTTGCATAATTTTGACTAATAACTTTTCCCACTTCTTTTTTTGTACCAAATGTCTCGGCATTTTTACGGAGAGTTCCACAAAATGTGGTGTAAACTAAAAGCCGGTAAATGTATAATTCCAACAGTTATATTAAAGTACTCCAATCAAAGGACACAACTTTAAATTGTACCTTTTTGTCTTCACATTTACATACAGACGCTGCAGATGTGGCAACAACAAGGACCGCAAAACACAGAAGGAACACCTTGAACTCCTGATGAAGGAAACAAATTTTAGAGATTAATCGCTTCTGCTTAAAAGCAAGCCAACAGCGCTGTCTTGATTATAGGAGACTCTATTATTTAGAAGTGGGTTGTTTCATTGTTCTCGGGTGCTAACAGCAAATAAAGATATTGTCAAATAAATCTTACCATTTTTCTCGTAACAGAAAAGCGACGGTTCTTTGTTCTTCTTGTGGCAGAGGACTTGTACCTTTCTCCACTGAGAATGGATGCAAATCTACGAGGGTGCCGTTTTTATACCATCTGAAGGCTGTCGAATGTTTTCTCACAATGATATTTTACACCTGAATTGGCCCGATTTTCCTATTGTTTCTGCTCTATTAGTGTAACATTTATGACCTCGTAGTAGTTCTTCCTTTACTGCGCACACTCAACAACTATAACTTCTGATGGATAAGGTCCATGACAATTTCCGGACTCACCCTACCCTAGTCTACATGGGCAACTGGAGCTGAGGAAAACCTCCTGGACATGATAAAAATATAAGTAAAACTTGGCTGAAAGAATTACACAGAGCCTAAGAAAGCCTAAGAAAGGCTACAGTGCACTTTTCGATGTGTCTATTTACGAAAGAGCAGCACGCCCTACTTGTTTTAATATTACCATACGCGACCTTAAGCCAACTAGAATCCACTGAGAATCTTTCTCCACTGAAATTGCAAAGAATGGAAACAAATCTTTAAGCGAACCATTTTTATACCAATGGCTGTCGATTATTTTAATGTTACCGATGTATTATGGTTCTGATCACACCTGTATTTGGAGTGGTTTTTACTGTTTCAGCTTTTCTAATGTAATATTTATGACCTATTTCAAGTCCCTACTAACTCTACCCCACCCTGCATAGATTCTCAAAAACAAACGGGACAACTGAACATTTGTTTTTGATCTGCACTACCTTCAGCAATCACCGTACTGCGCATATGCAACAACAGATTAAATTAATCGGCCCCAAATCAAACACGGATTAGGGTTATTTAGGGATAGCTTGTGCAAAATATTTCGTAATTTCGTGGTGCAAGCTCGTGTTTTGGGTGAAATGCGCGCGTGTTGTACCCTAAAGGATCTGGCACATGCACAGATCCTGGTAAAAGTGTTACCTTTTAAGTTGCATATCTATACATGGTTTGCAATAGATTTTTCTACTGACGCGTTACCTGTGTTGATATATCGGTTTCAAAATCACTAAACATGACCTTAAGACCTAGAATTAGCGCTTCCTTAAGCAATCACACTGTTGCGCATATGCTAAAACTGTTGACGACAGATTAAATAATTTAGCGGCTCAAAATCACGTGGAGATCAACGTCAGTTCAGGTATAGTCCGCAAATGGTCTCCAATCAAGTCGAAAACGCTTTGATTGTCTTACATCAGTGAGCAAATTGTTCCACAGAACAGCCCCGCTGTGGCAGAAGCTATTTCTATAGTTACTGGTTCGTGGCAAGGGAACAGCCTGCTTATTTTCAAAATCTCGAAAGTTGTGGGAATTAAATAAATCGCTTTGTAGTATGAATTTTGAAGACATGTAATCAAGTGGAAGGTAATTCATAGATTTATACACCATCACAGCCTTATGAATTTGCCGCTGAGTTTCAAGATTTTGCCACCCCAAGTCATTTAAAAGTATACTCGCATATGCATCATAATTGGAGTTTGTGAGAACGCGTGCTGCACGGTTCTGGAGCCGCTGCAATTTAACACTACCACAGCTACCCCATACCACGCTGCAATAGTCCAAGTGTGATTGGACAAGGCCATAATATACATCATGCAAGGCGGTAGGGGGTAAACAATAATTGATGCGTTTTATAGCTCCAATACCAGATGCAATTTTCTTAGATAAAGCGTCAACATGATTTTTCCATGTAAGATTTTCGTCAATGAGCACGCCAAGAGACTTAGAGCATTCATAATGTTTGATAGGAACGTTATTTATATTAAGGTAGTTTATTAAGCTTTTGCCTCGAGCCGACTAACACGAACTCAGTTTTAGTCATATTTATTTATGTTGAGCAAGTCTTCGTTCAGGGAAGGATGAATGGAGTAAATATCACCATTCGAATAAGTCAGATGTCACTTGAAAAGTCTAATTTTCTAATGCTATTTTAAAAAAGCCTTGAAAGATCGAATAGTGCTGTATGAGTTGCGTATTGAATTCCAGAGTACCAACCCCACGATTTTAGGCCGTAAGTAAAAGTGTTGGCCTTTGGCTATTTTAAAATATCAGTTACTCAATATCCGATCAGTACTCAAATGCTCTTTGGACCTTGTTCATTATCAATAAAATTGAAAACCTTTGAGACTACTTTTTCGAGGTGTTGATTCACAAGTCATAGTAATGGTAAGCCTATCCTGTTGACTGAGTATTTTACGGTGTATTTTACAGCACAATAAAGACTAAACGAAGGGCACACTGGATCGTTAACTTTTTTCAACTTTGCAGTGGCATTTTTATTGCAAAAATGTCTCTGACCAGTAGTTAAAGTTAGGAATGAAAAATGCGAGGTAATGACACTTTTTGTTTCAAAAAGAAAAAAAAAGAAAAGAAAAGAAAAGAAAACCCCAGAGCTTCGCGCTTCTCGCTAACTCGCGCAATTTGCATCGCTATCATAAGGAAATGAAATTTAAGAGTGATATGAAACCCAGGGTAGTACCCAAGATTTCAAGTTAAAGGGATGATCGAAGGGGGGCAAAAATCAAAACCCCAAAAAATCCCTAGGGGCTTCAAACAAAACCCAAAAAACTCCCTGGACCAAAATTTAACCCCCAAAATATCCTATGCCTAATTTCCGTGCCATAAAAATTTATTCGCAGAACTACGCGGCCGGGATATGTGGGAACCATCACGAATCTTCAGATTGCCTTGAATACCCGAAAAAAATATCCCTACTTAAATCAAGCTACCCCAAAAAATACCTGGCAAAATTTTCCGACCCAAGAAAATCCCGAAATCGAAAATTTCAAACCTAAAAAAATCCTTCCATCCTCCCTGTAACTTGAAATCCGGAGTACCCCCCCCCCCCCCCCCAGGATTTGAAGGTGTGTATAACATTATCATTGATCCACAATAGAATTTGAATGTTAAACGTGACGTTTTCAAAATGCTAAAACTAAAATAATGAAGTGTTAAAAAATAATTTTCAAAATTTAGTGTTGTATAAAGGGCAAAGGAGATATTTTTATTACTTTAGATAAAAAAAGTATTTTTCAGGTAAGCGTGACAATTGTGATACCTCTAAATTTCGCGAAAATGCTCATGACACTGTCTGAATAAAAGTGGGGTGCGATTTTCCTGAAACAACGGCTTAAAGTTAATAAACACCTTTAACATCAAGGTTCTAGTATTTTCCACCTTTTTCTAATAACGTATATATAGGATATTTTCAACTTCAAGTTTGGACAGGTTCTTCACTACACACATACAAAAGAGTATTCTGTTACATCCCAGCTTCAACCGAACCGCTGACACTGCAGCTCGTCTCCCGCTTGGCGGGTAATGTTTTGCTTTAGACAGAGCCGCGCTTTTATGAGTGTGTTTGTAAACCGGTAAAAACCTAGTCACCATAACGTGACTCTTAATCTTTCCAATCTCCGTAAGAGGGGAACTTCCGTGGTTTCCCGAACAGTTCGATCGAGAAGGGCAAATAAGCAATCTCTTTCGGCTTGACATATTTTTAGTAGACTTAAGAAAAGCTTTTACGTAATGGGGGTTTCCCAGTTTCACATGCAAAAAGAAAGATTTCGTCCTGTGACGTTTACCAACCAATAACAAGTTGACCCATAAATTAAACATTTGGCCTAAAATCTTGCTTAATATTCTTACTTTTGGTTTTGGTTAAGAAAAAAATGTGAGGAAAAACAAAATGACTTTATTAGAACAACAACGTTCACGGCGTCAGTCTACATGTGAAAAAGTGCAGGATTCTATCCTGAGACGGGTGAACAACAATTTATCCTCTCGTCCTGCGCAGAATTTTTAAATGAGATAAAACGGTAGCGGGCGGCTATAACAGAATTATAAATAAAACCGGGAAGTAAGTGATGGCTGCTGAGCGCTTGCCAATTATTTTTAGCAAATTTTTTATGGTTCAATAAGTGGGGAGGAAAAAATTGTCACGCTGACCTGAAAAATATTTTAATCTAAAGTAATAGAAACATCTCCTTTACACTTTATGCAACACTAAATTTTGAAAATTATACTTATTTTTTACACTTCATTTAGTTTTAGCATTTTGAAAACGTCACGTTTAACATTCATATTCTATTGTGGATCATAATGTTATACAATACTTTCAAATACACTCTTGAATTTCATTTCCTCACGGATAGGGATGCAAATTGCGCGAGTTAGCTAGCCAGAAGCGCGAAGCTCTCGGATTTTTCATTTCTTTTCTTTTTCTTTTTCTTTTTGAAACAAGAAGTGTCTTTACCTCGCATTTATCATTCCTAACCTTAACTACTGCTCAGAGACATTTTTGCAATAAAAATGCCACTGCAAAGTTGAAAAAAGTTAACGATCGCCCTTCGTTTTGTCTTTAATGTACTGTAAAATACTCTGTAAAATACTGAGTCAACAGAATAGGCTTACCATCACTTGTGAATTAACACCTCGAAAAATAGAGTCTACAGTTTTCAATTTTATTATAAATGAACAAGTTCCAAAGAGCATTTGAGTACTGATCGGATATTGAGTAACTGATATTTTAAAACGGCCAAAGGTCTCTAACACTTTCCGTTAACTTACGCCCTAAAATCGTGGCGTTGACGGCGCCAAAACTCTGGAATTCATACCCAACTCATACAGCACTATTCGATCTTTCAAGGTTTTTTGAAAATAGCATTAGAAAATTAGACTTTTCAAGTTTACAATTATAAATCTCAATGATGTTAATTCTAGTTATTTTATATTTTCATTTTGCGCGTAATACCTGAAAGCTAGCTGGTGTGTGAGATGTCCCACAAAAGCTGAGTGTTCTCGACTTGATTGGAGACTATTTGCGGACTATGCCTGAACTGACGTTGATCTCCACGTGATTTTGAGCTGCTAATCTGTCGTCAACAGTTTTAGCATATGCGCAACAGTGTGATTGCTAAAGGAAGTGCTGATTCTAGGTCTTAAGGTCATGTTTAGTGATTTTAAAACCGATATATCAACACAGGTAACCCGTCACTAGAAAAATATATTGCAAACAATGTATAGATAGGCAACTTAAAAGGTAAAACGTTTACCAGGATCTGTGCACGTCCCACATCCTTTTGGCTACAACACGCGCGCATTTCACCCAAAACACGAGCTTGCACTAGAAAATTACGAAATATTTTGCACAAGCTATCCTTAAATAACCCTAATCCGTGTTTGATTTGGGGCCGATTAATTTAATCTGTTGTTGCATATGCGCAGTACGGTGATTGCTGAAGGTAGTGCAGATCAAAAACAAATGTTCAGTTGTCCCGTTTGTTTTTGAGAATCTATGCAGGGTGGGGTAGAGTTAGTAGGGACTTGAAATAGGTCATAAATATTACATTAGAAAAGCTGAAACAGTAAAAATCACTCCAAATACAGATGTGATCAGAACCATAATACATCCGTAACATCAAAACAATCGACAGCCTTTGGTATAAAAATGGTTCGCTTAAAGATTTGTTTCCATTCTTTGCAATTTCAGTGGAGAAAGATTCTGAGTGGATTATAGCTGGCTTAAGGTTATGTTTGGTGAAATTAAAACAAGTAGGGCATGTTGCTCTTTCGTAAATAGACACATCGAAAAGTGCACTGTAGCCTTTCTAAGGCTCTGTGCAAGTCTTTTTAATTCAAAACGCCAACCAATTTTTACTGTCGCAGATATTAATTTTTGTCAGGTCGAAGAGGTTTTCCTCAGCTCCAGATGCCCATGTAGACTAGGGTAGGGTGAGTCCGGAAATTGGCATGGACCTTATCCATCAGAATTTATAGTTGTTGAGTGTGCACAGTGAAGGAAGTACTAGTACGAGGTCATAATTGTTACACTAATAGAGCAGAAACAATAGGAAAATCGGGCCAATTCAGGTGTAAAATATCATAATCTGTAACGCCAAAGTGAGAGTGAGAAAACATTCGACAGCCTTCATATGGTATAAAAAAGGTTCCCTCGTAGAGTTTCATTCATTCTCAGTGGAGAAAGGCACAAGTCCTCTGCCACAAGAAGAACAAAGAACCATCGCTTTTCTGTTACGAGAGAAATGGTAAGTTTTATTTGACAATATCTTTATTTGCTGTTAGCACCGAGAACAACGAAACATCCCACTTCTAAATAATACAATCACCGATAATCTCGAGGGCGCTGTTGGCTTGCTTTTAAGCAGAAGCGATTAATCTCTAAAATTTGTTTCCTTCATCAGGAGTTCAAGGTGTTCCTTCTGTGTTTTGCGGTCTTTGTTGTTGTCACATCTGCAGCGTCTGTATGTAAATGTGAAGACAAAAAGGTACAATTTAAAGTTGTGTCCTTTGATTGGAGTACTTCAATATAACTGTTATACATTTACCGGCTTTCAGTTTACGCCAGTTATTCCTCGTGTAGTCCGCATTTTGTGGAACTCTCCGTAAAAATGCCGAGACATTTGGTACAAAAAAGGAGTGGAAAAGTTATTAGTCAATGTGAAAAATTATACAAATTCAAGAAACTTTCAATTGGTTTTGTACAATCAAAGGCCAACTGATGTCTCTCTTATGTTGCAGCAAAGCGTGTCCAAATACAAGGTAAAAGTAAAGGATGGAGATAAAGAGTTTGAAGAAGAAGTTGAAATCGACACTAAGGAACAAACAGAAACCTATCGCATCCCAAAGACAGATTCTGGGAACGCGGGAGAAGTCGATGTTGTTTAAGACTTTAAGAAGGTAAAATACTTTGGTCAAAGCAAAGTGGGTGAGAAATTTCGGTGATTTTGATCGAAAGTTTTGTCAACTCGATTTTAATTATTCGCATAATTGCTTACGTACTACTCTCTCGCTCAGCCAACTATCTGTCTATATCGGTATTGTAATCTGACTTTACACCTGTTCGTTTTATTCATTGTTTCCCTTGAACTTTATTGTGAATCATGATATCACAACAACATTGCTTATGTTTTCCTTTTGTTGTAGAACTTGACTATGCAACGACTCTCTGCTGCAAAGGCCTGTTTTCTGAGTGAATTCACTGAAAATATACCCAAGCCTAGTGACCTCGTCAAGTTACTTGACCAGGTAATTCAAGTGAGATTCTTTGTCATTGGGATATTTGCGTCCCTACGGTAATTTAATAGGAAATAGAATTGAACTTTAAGGTGGCAAATTTGAATGTCGTTACGAAAATGCGAATGATTAAGTTTTCAATTAGTTTTGAAAATATTTCTACAAGCTTGTGTTAATTCCCACTTAACGAGCATAGCAACCCGGTAAAACCTTTTGTTATTTTTCATAAACTTCTTGGACGGCCGGGAAGTCCTACCCCCTTGCCAACTTTCCCACTTACCAAGTTTCTGAGATTTTGAGTGGCAGGTATTCTTCTTAAAAATATCGAAAGAAGGGCAAGTTAATGTTTAAAGCGGACTGCTTTCGTTTAGTATACACTGAACTTCTTCTGTGCGTAAAGGTTACTGAAGGCGTTTTAGGTTTATGTTATTCTTGTTACCCTTGTTATTCCCAGAAGAGCGCCACAACGACAACAGCTAAAAATGAGACGAACAATGAATACGAGGTCGTTTCGACTGTCACTGACCGCTCGGACCTGAGTGATGAAATGGCTTCTATGTGTGCCAAGCTGCCCATTTATCGCGTCAAAAAGACAACGCCGTTGTCCATAAGTGTTAAACGTAAGTGTTCCACTTTATTAGCTAGCGTAATGTTTAGAACAACAAAGTGTCATTCATTTACTTATAGCTAAAAAAAAAACTAAAAACATTTAGTTTTCATTGGAGGTTAAGATGGAAACTAATGTCTTGGAAATATAAATGCTAACTCGAGAAGAAATTTTGGCCAAAAAAACATCTACCAACAACTGACAATTTCGCTTTTTCTTCCCTGGCTCTTACTTGACTGAGCAAAGAGAAAGAGGGTGACATTTATATACGTTTTTGTTTTGTTGGGAGCACGACTTAATATATTTGTAACCTTCAACCCATTCGTAGGCCGGCCATTAATGTTGTTGGATATAAGTCCCTAAGTCAGTCAATGAAAATCACCTTCAAATCGAAGAAATTTAGAGGAAATGCATGGTGTGGATTGGACGCGCGTCAATACACGAGTTATTAGTTAACAATTCTTGGTTGAGGAAGGCGTTATTCGGGCTATGTGGATAACAGCAGCCGAGATCCGCATAATTCTTCATATCATACGAAAGCCCAATTCAATAATGCTTTAATATTCATTCAAAGATTTTAAGTTCTTAACAACCTTACCTCCTCATAAACTTTCTTTAAGATATTTGCCTGTTTCGCAGCATAGTTTTAGAATCTGACCAGATGTTTTTCCTTGCAGATACTTCTCAAAAAGTAGATTACATCCATCTGGCAATACTTTTTGCGTCTATTCGATCTTGCATTTTTTCCGTTCAGTCGGCTGTGTCGTCTTCGGATAGCCGTGAGCTCTTTCGCCATTTCTTAAGTTCACTCATGCCAAGCATCGCTCGCTTCTTGCAAATTTTGTCAGCGCTAGTTGGTTATGAATAATTAACCTGGGGGCTTAAAACCAATCACAAACGGCAAAATATTTTCGATGAATATTAAATTTATTGATGTTTGTGCCAGTTTGATGTTTGACCGATTTAGGACGAATTTCAAGAGCTGACAAAGTTACGTACTTGTTTAACCAGATTAAATAACTTTGAAAAAAACTTCAAAGTTAAAAGCTCGAGGATCGGGGAATTCTTGATATGTTTCGTGACTCAGAGGAAAATTTCCTTCCTTTTCATTTTGACATTGATGAAAAAAAAAAAAAAACAATGTTTGTTATGTTACGTATGACACTTGCGAATTATGTTGCACGTGAATAGCTTTTACTCCGTAAAGCCTTTTTCGTGTTTTAAACTTTCTACTTTTATAACACTTTCAATTTATTTATTTTATTGAAAGTGTCCTTGTAATAAAGGTTTACTTACTTTTATCCACTTACTCATATAGCAGGTGTGAAGCGTTGCGTCCTTTACTACTACACGAAATGCGGCTATTATTGCCGTAGGTGTAATATTTTCTATTGTGTGTGGTACTTTTGTTGTCCACGGGTATGTGTCAGAATTGGCTGCTAAAAGGAAAATGAGAGCTGGCGCAGAGCTACTGAAAATTTCTGTGCAGTGATTACCGCACTAGATCGACTTTATAACTCGAAGTGATTCTAGAACACATGGTGGTACATCCAGTTGCTACATCTGTGATTTGACACTAGTTGATAGAAATATGGAGATGTTATTGTCAATTTAAGCGTTAAATAAAAACAATCAGTTTGGTTTTGGAAGAAAGTAAGGTCAAAATAGATTTAAGGCTTTTTTTTTATCATAAATCTCATGGCGGTTACTTGGCTTCAGTTTAATTGCATTACCTCAATGAGAAAGGTTAGTTAGTAAAGTTCGAAATGTCAGTATGAATCTAGAATACTTAAACTCGCAACTGGTGCAAATTAATAAACAGTAATAACAAAGCAAATAAAGTCAATTGAACTGTTAAGTCTGATGTGTGTTTTTTCACTTTTGTCCAAGGGGCTCAGAATGGAACTGCCAACCCCGGTTTTGTAGTTTGATTTTATAAATTAAAAAGTAGTTTGAACTGAGAGATAATTGTGATTTCAGCGCCTGTGTCACGTTGTAACTGTCTCAATATGAGAGGAACCCATTGAAAACGGCGGGGTTTCTAGCAAAACGCTCACCGGCCGCCCGAACGAAGAATAACGTTGCCGTGTAGTCAGTGATTAGCTTTTGGCTGAAACTGAGTGAATCAAGTTACTGAGTAAATAAGTGAATGCATAGAGAACACCGTTACTGGTAGGAGTGCGGGTAAGATCGTTGTAAATAGGATACCAACCGTGATCACTTAACTTCCGTCTTTTGTCGTTCTGCAAATACCCGGCCGCGTTGAATACTGAACGAGATCTTGGATAACGTCTCTAGTAACCCTGCTGTAACCAAATATAGTGAATGTCACTCGAAAAGTCTAATTTTCTAATGCTATTTTCAAAAAACCTTGAAAGATTGAATTGGGCATGGAATTCCAGAGTTTTGGCGCCGTCAACCCCACGATTTTAGGCCGTAAGTTAACTGAAAGTGTTAGAGGCCTTTGGCCGCTTTAAAATATCAGTTACTCAACATCTAGCCTGCAGTGCAGGCGTATTTTGGATGGGCGAAACCTTGTTCGCGTTCGAAATATTGTTGCAGCCGCCATCTTTGATTTTATGACCGTGGAAGATTGGGGAGAGTAGAAATAGTAACCCTTACGGTAGGTGCGAGGGCGAAAGAAGGAAACGGGGGAGGGGGAGGAGAGAAAAAAACCCGCTCTCTTTGACTCGCCCCATCTCCTCCTCTCTTCGGGAAGTTTAGACATGGCGCTTTCGCGAGCAAATTGCGCGCTCAAAGAAAACGCCTTCACTGCAGGTTATTCAATATCCGATCAGTACTCAAATGCTCTTTGGAACTTGTTCATTCAAGTTAATAAAATTGAAAACCGTTGGGACTATTTTTTCGAGGTGTTGATTGACAAGTGATGGTAAGCCTATCCTGTTGACTGAGTATTTTACAGTATATTAAAGAGCAGAGCATTAGTTAAAGTTAGGAATGAAAAATGCGAGGTAAAGACACTTCTTGTTTCAAAAAGAAAAAAAAGAAAGAAAAGAAAAACCCGAGCGCTTCGCGCCTCTGGCTAACTCGCGCAATTTGCATCGCTATCATGAGGAAACTCAGGGTGCTACTCCAGATTTCAAGCGACAGGGATGATCGAAGGGGGGCGGGGGGGCAAAAATCAAAAGCCAAAAAAATCCCTAGGGGCTTCAAACAAAACCCAGAAAGTCCCTGGACTAAAAATTAACGCCCAAAATATCCTATGCCGAATTTCCGTGCCATAAAAATTTATTCGCAGAACTACGCGGCCGGGATATGTGGGAACTATCACGAATCTTCAGATTGCCTTGAATACCCGAAAAAAAAAATCCCTACTTAAATCAAGCTACCCCAAAAAATACCTGGCAAAATTTTCCGACCCAAGAAAATCCCGAAATCGAAAATTTCAAACCTAAAAAAAATCCTTCCATCATCCCTGCAACTTGAAATCCGGAGTACCCCCCGCACCCCACCCCAGGATTTGAAGGTGTGTATAACATTATTTCTCTGCTATGTCACTGCGTTCCGCCGCAGAGAAAACGTTTAAGTTCTAATCAGCAGAAAGGCAACAAGACGTTGAAATAGGAAGGACACGGATGAACAGCCGACGTGAAACCTTGCGAGACGGACCGGGCACTCCTTCCACCAGTGGCCTGAAGAACCGCAGTATCGACAAGGCCCTCGGGTGAATTCACGGTTAGTGGTGAAATTGTGTTGGTTTGTCGAAGAGGAAGCGAACGGCTGTGAAGATTGCCAAGAACGCTGGCTCCCGTTGAACTGCCTTGAGTAAGGGGAGAAGAAAGGTTGAGCTTGACGATTTCGGACCGCAAATCCCTCAACATTACGCTTCTTTCTTTGTCGAGCTTGATCCCTCAGAGCCTGCCTCTCTGCAGCGCGAATTTTCTTGTCGTCGTCCTCGCTCAACGAGACGGGATTAGATTCGTAGTGTTTAACGGTCAACCAACCGGCCTCGGACGAATCCGCGATCCGTATCTTGCGGTTACGTTCCTGTAATAGTTCTACGGTTTCGTCAAGAATTGAAAACGCCTCAGACTCGGGAGGTAGATCGGCCAAACGATCCTTAAGTGAAGCAAGCTTGGCTAACACTTGACCGTTAAATTTGAAATTACGTTCGTTGCCGGTGTAATTAAACTTGATCTCCGACTGTTCCTTCAAAGAATTAGAAGCAGAAAGGGCAGCTGAGCCAACCTCATGCGATTTCTGTACCTCGGACGAAATAACTGATTTGTGAAGGGCGAGCTGACTAACAACAAAATCTTTGAAACTATCAAGATCTTGCTTTGTAACAGGCTCGTCTCCCATACTAGAAAATTAAGCTCGGCAAGGTGCGAGCGGTAAAACTGGCTGTGTCGAGTGACTAACGCGAGAGGCGACAAGGCTTAAATACCGAGATGTGACGTAAAATCCCTAGAGGATCAAACTGCGGCCATAAATGCAAATTCCGAACATAAACACATCATTGATCCACAATAGAATCTGAATGTTTAACGTGACGTTTTCAAAATGCTAAAACTAAAATAATGAAGTGTAAAAATATAATTTTCAACAGTTATGCAAACTCTCGACTTCGCTTCGGGTTTGCATAACTGTCTCGAATTCTCCCAACCCCTCTCGTGTTTATATCAGGCTATGCATACACGGAAAACGTTTTGTATTGTTTTAATAGGCCCAACTATCGGTTGTCTCCAATAAGGCTGTAACTGTTAAATGAAGTGCACGGAATCCAGATTAGTGCTCAGACAAAATATTATGATCCGATAAATAGGCAAAGAGTTGATTGTAGATAATTCTTTCAAATACTTTGCCAATTATAGAGATAACTGAAATTGGACGATAATTGTCTATATCTCTTTCTATCGCCTTGCTTAAATAGAGGAGTAACCATCGCGAACTTCCAACAGCCAGGAAATATACCATTAGCTAAGGAACTATTAAATATAATTGAAATATGAGGTGCAACCAAATCAGCGCAATCAAGGATA